GTGTGTGTGTGTGTGGACATGTACATACAACCTCCCCGGCTCTCGCCTCCCGGGACGCCGCGCAGGGCGCAGGGCGCAGGGGGGCGGCGGGGGGCGCGGGGAGGGGCGCGCCCGGGCTGGGGGCGCGCGCGGGGCGAGCCTGGTCCTCCTCCCTGGGGTGGCGCCGGGGGTGGCGGCCGAGGCCGGGGGTCGCGGCGCCCCGTCTTCCCCGCTCCGGGCCGCGGGCGGGAGGCGGGGTCTGCAGGGGTCCGGGCTCCCCCGCGGGGGGCCGCCGGCCTCGGAGCCCGGGCCGGGGTCTCCCCGCGCAGGCCGGCCTCTCCAGCGCGCGCGGCCGGCCGGGAGGGGCTGCACCGGCCGCGGGCCCGGACTCTGCGCGCGGCGGGCGCGGGGCGGTGGGGGAGCCGGGGCGCGGGGGGCGCGGAGGGGGGCGCGGGGGGGCGCGCGCGGCTGGAGGGGCGGCCCGGGCCGCGCCGCCGCCGCCCTGTTGGTGCGGCCGCTTCCTGATCATGTGCAGCCGCGGCCGCCGCCGCCCGGAGCCGGGAGCCCGCGAGCGCCCCAGCCCGGGCCGGCGCCCCCGCCAGCGCGCGCGGCAGGAGCCGGGGAGCCGCGGCCGGCGCTGCCCTGCCCGCGCGGGATGAGCGGCCGCGCGGCTGCCGAGCCGGTGAATGGAGCCCGGAGGAGGGGAAGGAGCCGGGGCCGCCGTGCAGGAGGCGCTGCGGGGAGCGGGGTGCGCCCGGGAGCCCCGCCGCTCGCGCGCCCTGGGCCGGGCCGGAGACTCCGCCACTCCCGGGCCGCCGGCGCCTCCTACGTGGTTGCAGCGCTGCGCGCAGGCCGGTCCCGCAGGGGGCTGGGGCGCACCGGGCGAGTGTGAGTGTGAGTGTGTGTGTGTGAGTGTGTGTGTGAGTGTGTGCGCGCGCGCGCGTGTGTGTGAGTGTGCGCGATTGCGCGCGTGGGGGGTGGGGACGGCGACCGCGGTGGCGCTGGGGAGGGGGTCCCCTCTGGGGCCACTTGGCCCGCTCGGCCGCCCCGACCCCTCTCCGGGCCCTCCGCCCTCGGGCCGCGCTCCTGAACTCCGCGGCTGGGGAATTTCATTTTTTTTCAGACCACGTAGGGGGCTGGAAGCGCCGAAACAATTCAGGTTTTCTAGGGAGGTTGAGCAAGAACCTTCGCGGGGGGTGAAGTAGGGTGGTGTTGGAGAGCCTGCCAGAACGCAAACAAAAATCCTCAGTTTTTAAGGACTGGGGGTGCTGCAGGGGGTGTGTGTGGGGGGGGTCCGGTCCGATCCCGTGGCTGCTCGGTGTCGGTTTGCTTTCCTAGCATGTAATCCTCCAGATAAGAGGGTGATAGAGAGACTTCGGGAGATTGGGAAATTGCTGAAGAGTAGTAAGGGCAAAAAAAAAAAAAAAAAAAAAAAAAAATAAAATAAATAAAAAGAAAGCACCAGTCGGAAGCTGGTTATATAATGCGCGATGTGGCTAAGGAGAAGGCAAGCTATTTTTATTTTGTTTACCGTATGCTGTGCTGTAGGGACGATTCCAAACTGGTTCTGTCCCCGAAGAGAGCCTTAGCTTCCCTCTGCGAGCCACAGGATACAATTCGCCAGATTAGAAGACCCTGTGACACCCACAGAATAAAAAGTCATGTCTCAGCGTGGCATGCTCGTGCCTGCACCGGAATGTGTGTATGCAAATAAGTTCTCCTTTGGCAATCTCGTCGTCACATCTCAATGACATTTGTGTTTTATAATGCAGGCTGTTCTTAATATTTAAACATCATCGTTATAGAGCGCGCGCAGCGGTGGGTAGCCCTGGCTGATTATTTTTAGGCACTGCTATACTTTTTCAACTGTGTTGGCTAAGCCATGGGGAGGGGGTGCTGAGGAGCAGCTCTGCAGTTCCTAGAAGCCGCTGTTAACCCCCCCCCCCCAACTGGCTCCCTCTGGTTTATTTAGTGGGTGAAGGTAGTTGCTTAAGTATTTGGGGGAATGAAGCTGAAGCCCCAGCAAGCCACCAGAGGGGATGAGAAAATGCAGCCCATGAAGTCTTGGAAAGGGATGGCACCCTAAAGGCCAATGCTGTGTGTGGCATTTAATCTCCTCTGTCTGCCCTCTAACTGTGCGTGCATCAGTCTGTACATTATCAGCCACATAGACAAATGGACTTGAATGACACCTTTTACATAAAACAGGTTGCAAGGCTCCTCTAAACCTCCTGCCTGCCTGTCTTTCTCATCATGTAGATCCGTGTCAGTGGTGTAGGTTTTCCTGCACTTACTCCAGCCCTGATCACTCATGTAATTAGATCAGGCTGCCATGGCAACAGACAGTGCTCCTGGCCCATTCAGGTGGGTTTGCCTTGTGCCTGGACTACTCCAAGTAGTGTTTTATGCACGCTATTTGTGCTGCCCAAGCCGGTGGAGACTTCACTATTTCAATTGCGTCTTCTTTCAGTCGTTTGGATGGGAGTCACTGAATGAGGCTTCTAGTCACTCAACTTATAAAGGAGACCCGCAAGCTGTTCTTAGTGGGTACAGTATGTAAATGCCTCTCTCCAGACAGTGAAAGGAGCTGGACAATCCTGCTGGTGTTTATTGTGAACAGATCAACAAGTATTTGGTACTTGTTAGAAACCTTTCAGAGCTCCCCAAAGCCACATTTCTTTTGCAGTCTAGTGATTTTGGCCTTGCAGGCATTTAACCCTTTCGAGTGTGAAAGCACCATCCATTAGACCCCAAGTTCCCAATAGTCATTACTGTTTTTTTTTCTGAAGCCATCAGATTCTATGTCAGATGCCTGCAGATGACTTTATTTTGCAACATCCCTAAGTCGGTTGTCTGGGAATCCTGGACTCGGTGGAAGTAATTTATTTGGGAAAGATATCTCCCTTTTCACATTTCAGAGCTTTAGGGTCGTCATAATAAGAAAAAATGGTAGTGACAGTAGGCAGACATTCAGAATGTAGTCATTCTCGACGTGGGTCGCTTGGCCTTGATCTTTACATCCTTGGTCGTAGTTTAAAGGTTCTGCTCTCAAATGAGAGCCGCTGTAGGCCTGTCGTGGGTAGAGGGATGACGGGTGGTGCTTTTGCACAGTAGACCACTTGTACTCTATTTTGGGAGCTCTAATTTAACAAGCATTTAATAATTTAGAGAGCAGCATTACTCTTTGCATTAGGGCATCACTTTATTAAGCCTGCTAAACAAATAATAATACTATTGCAAAAGAAAAAAAAAGGCAAGAAAATTAGCTTTGGTTACTGAAAGGTCTCTTTGCTCAGGCAATCCAGATGACAGGAATAATTAATAACCCTGAAATTTGAAAGAAAAAATAACTGAGAAGAATAATGTCTTGATTTGGTTGTGACTCTGCCAGTTTGTTTGAGTTTTATAGCCCCAGATCTAAATTGGTAAATCCTTTCTTTGCCTGGGGCTGGGATTGAGAGCTCTAGTTAACTCTACTCACAAGGGTTTATGAGTTTCTACGCTTTGGTGAGTTTATGCAGTGGGCAACTTGATTGTGGCCTGCTCGGATCAAGCATTGCTGTGGTTAAAATGAGCTATTATTTCTAGCAGGTAAATAGATGGGAAGCAGATATATAAAAGAAGCCACAGAGGTTTAAGTTTTACACAACACCTTGGGGATCCTGAATTATGATTTGCAACATACAGAAAATTGCTTTCCTGTGTGTTTTTGGGTGCGTAAATAAATTCATGCTAAAAGAAGTATGAAAAGTATGCTTGATTAGAAACTTTGGAGCACAGTGTTTCCCTTTCTGGATTTCGTTTTAAGAGGGTTTGGTAAACAGAAGTGATACTTTATCAGAAATATTATCACTCGACTGCAAGGCCTCTGAATTGCTTTTACTTTAGAGAAAGAGTCAAGAACACTCTGTAGCCATCAGATTATATGTCAGATGCCTGCAGATGACTTTACATTTCGATATCCCTCACTCGGTTGTCTGGGAATCCTGGGAAAGCCCAGCTGTAAGAGGTTATTAAAATATTAGTAAACATATTTCTACGCCTCCTGCTTTTGTTGTCATTACAGCGTTCAAGGGCCTCACATTCCTTTTGTCTAAAGTGCCTTAATTTTTCTTCACTCTGAAATGTCAAGTGGATTTTACTTTTGTACTTACCTTGAATGATCGTTTCTGATGACTAACACGTTCTAACACTGGCTCATTGTGTTTCCTATTAGAAGCTAGTCAATAAACATATTTTACCCAAACCATGAAATTTTGTAAATTTGTAAGGTTGAGTGAATGTTAGTCATTGAAATGATAGCTGTCTGAAAGTGACACGTAATTTAGATTCTGCAAAGCTTAAATACTTGCGTATGTAAAGCGACACAGTGCAGCAAGACAGAATATCATTTTTAGAAGGGAGAGAGAATTTGATTTCCATTGCTTTATATTTTCAGAGCAATTCACTAATTTGAATGGTTGGCTTCTGTGAAGAATTTGGCTGTGTGCTGTATGTTTAGATAAGTGACTACTTCAAAGAACAGATTTAGTTCTGGTCATACTTTCAAGGTTATCAGAAGCAGACCCTCCTTATTTTCTTAAAGGCAACGAGAATAATATATCATTGAAATCCCAGTAGAGAGAGGATCTCTATTCTAATACACACTTTTGCTGTACCCCCTTTTTTAGGAATGAATTTTGTACTCATCAATTATGCTGTTCAAATTTTAGTTTTATTTAATTCACAGTTTAATAAAATACTCATTCAAAATATCTTTAAGCGTTGATATACTAATAAGTATACCAAGTGCTAGCTTCAGAGAATATTTTTAAATGTTGGTTGAAAGAATTATAGTTGGATTGAGGTTTTAAATGTGTGTGTGTCTGTGTATAAAATCACAGGAGTATAAAAAGATTTAGGTAAATAATCTATCTGTGGGAACAGCTTTTGAAATCTTTTTCTGGTTTCATAATTTACATTTTTATCTGTATAATGTAATATGTTTTATTATATATAATGTAATATGTTTTATTATATTATATATAATGTAATATGTTTTATTATAAATCTGAATTTTTAGGCTAATGTATTATAAATGCATAAAGAAGGTATGGAAGTTTCAGTTTTACACAACACCTTGTACTGAATGTACAAAAGCAAGTTTAGAATTATTACAGACAGAAAAACACAAGCATTATGTATATTTTTGACATATTTGATGTGAGCAGAAATATTTCATTGGTTTTTCTGCACCTACCAATGCATCCCATTTGTGGAGTAGAGAGAATGCAGTGATCACTGCAATAGGGAAAACACCTACCTGAAAATTACTTTTCAGAAAATTCATTGTCAGGTAGCCAGAAGTAGTCATGGGGGGGGGGGCAAAAGTTTCCCTAATTATGGTGTTTTCATTCAGGCTAAGAGGAAGATTCACCCAACTCCCTCTTTCTCCCCAATTATGTGTTGTTAACATGACAGGGATTTGAAGGAGTTACTTGGCAGAAGTTTTATAGTTACTAACCTATGAACATTTGTATTTCTAGTGTTCAATGGAAAGATATTTTTCTGTTACTGTGTTGATACATTTTCTTTTACTGCCCCCTTAGCTTTGACCTCTTTTCCCCAGAAAGTATTAATATTACCCTTTGGTCTTTACTAACTATCCAGCTCATCAATATTATTTAGGCCCTCTTTCTTGGTAACCTTCCACTATTAATGGTATTGGGTTATGTTGCCCTGCTGTGCTTTTAACATATTAAAGATTCTATTTTTAGTGTATAGCTTCTATAAAACATTCTGTAGATTATTTTGTTTGTATATTGCTTATATGTTTTTACAATAGTTTCATTCTGCCTTGTTTTAGTTCTTGTGTTTCTCTCTGATGGGATACAACGAGCTATGTTAACTCTCCTAATTACCCGAACTAGTATGACGAGGTAAATACTTTTGAAATAAGTACGCATACCAATGCGAGAGTAAATTAATATTTTACAGCTTTTGCATCATGTTTGACTGTTCTCTGCACTTCAGCAGAATAGGAGGAGATTGTAATTTGGACTCTATAAAGCCTTATCTGCCAGGTGATATGTAACTAGATTGTGTGCACACATCAGTATATGAGCAAACACTCCACTGTGAGCTCACAAAACTGCAAATCCTCGATGCCTGTGCCTAGTGGGAATCATTATCAAGTATTTCCATGCTTCACTCAAGATGTTACTACATAAAAGCCACCCCCACCCCTTCAAACAAGTCCTGTGTGAGAATAAACTGAATTTTACTTTTATTCAACTAGAGCTTGTTTTGCTTGTCTGCTATTGTTATTTGTAACTCTACTGGCTTCTTAGTGGAAGGGTAGTGTCTTCTAAGGACTTCAAAGACATCCTATTCTAGAACTGCTTATCTTTTTCCTTCTACGCTCACAGATTGCAAGTGGAGAAAGCAAGGACTAGAAAACTTCTTGTGCTTATCAGCTGCAGACATGCAATAGACCTTACATAAATGCTTGGTGAATGGATTAGTTAGAAGTAAGAATACTTTGGCAACTATTTATTACTTTGAAAAGTGTTGGAAAGCAATCGAAATTATTTTCCTTTCCAGCTGGGCTGTGCTCTTAAAAATAGTGAGTGTGTATGGATGAAAATAATCATGACTACTGAGATGTGTTGCCATGTACCCAAGGATAATTGGCTCCCATACCTGTTTACAGATTATTCACATTGGAGATCATATTCATAGCTCCAGAATAGTTTCTTTCTGACACCCAATATAATCCCAGGCCTTCTCCTTCCTACTGTTACCTGGCGTGGGTTTAGGAAACCCAAGCTAATTTAATATCAGCCTAAACAAATATGCAGATCAGCTCCAGGAATCAAAGACTGAAAAATCCTTTCAGCAGATACTAAGTTTGGGGATTATTTTATGACAACTGTGCTACTGATTCTTCCTATTTAATATGGACAATTGAGAATTACCCAGTATTTGACAATATAATTTTAATAGCTAGGGCAAAAAAGAGAAATTAGATCAAGTCCTCAATTTCTTCCATTTCTGTGCGTAGGTCTTTACCTCACAAAAACTACAAGCACCAAGCTCCCTGATGGAAAGGTATATAAAAGATTCATTCACCTGACTTCATTCATTCATTCACATTCACTCATTCATCACACAATGGGTAATTTTTACTTAACCGAGAGCAAGGCCTTAAAAATTCGAAAAAGAAATAGACACCCATTCAATAGTATGAAATAATTTGAAGTCTGGTGGAACATCTAGTGAATATGTGCATACCCTAACTTTTTTTCTGCATTTTATCCTTTTTTTTTCTGTGCCAATAGATGGGTATGCTAACAGCTGAGCCCTTTTACAATTGTTTTCAAGTTGCATGTTGATAGTAATATGCCCCAAAATAAGTCTAATAGTTAGATTTAGACTGGCACAATTACTATTCAATCCATGCCCATTTTCACCTGACATTCCTGTGATTAGCAGCATGTGTTTATCAGATGTTTGGTAAGAATCACTAGATAAAAGAATGACAGTAGCTGGCTGAAATGGGGAGACCAAACTCTTAATTTGATTGAAGGGGTGACCTTTCTCTGCGTTGGCCTCCCTCCGAGCCCTGTCGAATAAAACCAGATTGCTTTTGGAGCGGACTGGTTACCTATGTAATTTCCGCAAACCAAAAGGCAAAATTTGATGTCCTTCCGCTTCAGATTTCATGTGCAGACACTTTAAGGTGGGATGATGTTTTAAAGCAATATGTGTTCTGTTTTTCCTTTCGGATTTCCTCTCCTGCACTGGCTGGACTGTTGCAGGAGCACCGTGCAGCAAGTCACCTGCGTGGTCCATTCGAGCTGCAGATTTGTCTGTCATCCTTGTACAACAGTGTTCTCCTCCACTGCCGCTCCAGGGAAGTGCATCACCTACCAGGTGAGAGTGTGGCGGCGTTCTCAAGAAAGTCTCAAGAAAGATGTTCTCCAGAAAGTCTGTCCTGGGGAAAATTGCCTAGGAGCCTGCTTTAGGAGTCTGTTGACTCTTGACTGTAATTGTCATTGCAAACTATATTGTGTGGGAAATTGAGATATTGCCAGGAGAGGTTTTTTTTTCCCTCAAGTTTGGATTAAAGCATCTCTCTTTTTGGTTGCATTTTTTTGCTTAAGGAAGAGACGGCCTTTGACTTTGTGATGATGAGGATGGCATGCTGGGACTTGAGTCATGTCATTTTATCTTGTCACCTTGATTTAATGCGATGAGGGTGTTCTGTGCCCAGACAGTTATCTTAAGTCACAGATTTCTCACTCTTGATTTTTGTTGTAATCTGATTCATGAGTAGGGAGACAGGCCTGTTTGTTTCATGGCAATCAGTATTTGTTGAATCTTGACTTTCTTTGTGTCTGTTTGGATTTTACAACTTCCTGATTTACTCATGTAGAGTAAATTTTTCTGGCCTGGAGAGGCATGCAGACACAGGGTGTGTGTAGGATTGATGACTCATGGTTCTCTATTGAAGTGAGGACAAGAGGATACTGCCAAATGAAATCAGGAGAGATGGAAGTTAGGTGGAAGCTGGGACTGGTGTAGGCAATCAAAGGAGATTGTGAAATAGCTCCCTCTCTCAGTTGCCTTGGGAGCAGACCACCTTGACGAAGCTCTGGAAATCGACCACTTCAGAGTTTCTCAAGGCTGGCTGGGCAATGGACTTACCTGGAGAGCTTAAAACATGTAGAATTTGGAACCCCACCAGAGACCTACTGAGTTGAAGTGCAGTTTTGGTCTCTGGACTCATACGGGTACGCTACGGGTTTGGGGGGTTGGGTGGCCGCTGGCCAGCTCTTCCCAAAGAATGTTGTATCTCCTCACTTGTAAGTCACACAGTCTTCAAGGGACTAAATCTGGATTTTCAACTCATTTGTTAGGAGGTAAAGATTTGCTTTACCAAAATATTTTACTTACTTTACCAAAGGTTTCCACCATAATTTTTGAAGAGTTCCGTCTCTTACACGGAAGGTCCAGTTTTTGAGTTACATAGAAATTCCTTGGCATCTGAGATAAGAACACAGGATTCTGGAACTTGCTGGTCTGCATTTAAAATCTGCCACTGTGACCTAGGGCAGTGCTATAACCTTGGGGTGCCTTAGTTTCCTTATGTATAAGATGGTGCTAATTTACAACGTGATGAAATGAATGAAGTTCCCTGGGTTTGGGTTTGGTTGGTGATCCAGGGGCGTAAGTTGTCGTGGCGAACTTGTAAGTTCTCTCCCAACAGGGGGTTGCAATGTTCTTGTTTGGCGATGGTTGTTCCTGGACCATACGTGATGACAAGGAACAAGTCAATATATCTGTACCTTGGTCTTTGGACCAACACTGTAGACATTTGTGCACTGCAGAGCAAATGAGCCTTTTATTTATTTTTCTAAACTTCATGTTAGTCCAGTTTGCTTACCACGAGAGGATGTATAGGAATTATTTTTATATCGTTGCAAAGTGCACTAATGAGTTGCATGCCTCAACTGTGGTCTGAGTTAAAACAAGCACATGAACCTGAGCGCCTTAAATACTGTGGCCCCATAAATGGGTAGTCAAAAAGTCCTCTTGGGGTGGGGCAGGGAGGCAGGATGTTATCAGACACATTTCCTTGTGAAACCTGGAGCTGGGCTCTTTGCATTTTATTGGCTGTGACTTAGGGGGCTGTTCGTTAAAAGGAAATGGAGTAACCCCAGATTTCCATGCAAAGGTAGACTTCTTTAGATCTGCAGGTGTCAGGTGAATGGGAGGGGGTGAGATGTTTATTTGCTTCGTTATCTCTTAGGAGAGTTACCCACTTTATTGTGTTTATACTAGGCAGAAAATACCCACATTTCAGTTTTTGGAGAAGTAATTTGTCTATGTGATTAATATACATGCGAAATTGTGTAACCTGTGGTGTTTAAAGAGAGTCATTTTTTAAAAGAGAAATAGCTCGAGAATTTTGCTGTGAAAAAACAAGCAGCAAAAGTCTTATCTCATGGTCAATGTGTGCAGCTTATTGAGAGGAGACCCAGGGTTTTCTAGTATATTAGACGCGGCTTATGAATACTCATATTGTGCTACTGGCAAAGTAGTACAGAGTCACCTTGAATTCTAAGCAGCTGACATTTTCAATGATTGCATTTAAAGGAAGCTTATAAGCATTATCTAAACATTTTGCATAAATGATGGCCTCATTACAGTCCCCAAAGCTGATGACTAAATGTGGGCTGGGAAATAGTATCATTCACCATATAGTCTATATTCATTAATGTGGTTTTTTGTTCCAAAATTAAAACCTAGATGACAATTATTTCAGGTTCTTGCTATTTTATAAATGTGGCACAGCTGTAGCAGAGTTACAACCTGACTTGAACGCAGGCATCATTTATGTAAAGAAATGACTGGTTGATTGGTTGATTGATTGATTGATTCACGGTGCATTTTTCAAACTGCTACCTGGTTCTGTGGGAACAAAAGTGAGTAAGAGCGACGAGAAGAAAGAGTTATGTTCTCCATGGTCAGGTAGGGGAAAGAAGACATTCTCTCCAATAAAAGAACAAAGCAGAATGGGATAAGTTTACTTACTGGGCTAAATTCTAACACTGAAGGAATCCAGAAGAATGGTGCTGAGTAGGATGCTGAGGAAAGACTTTGAGGAGGAGGGACCATTTGAGTTGAGCAGTGAAGGCTGGTTAGCATGTCTGTGGGAAGAGAGAGAGAGAGAGGAGGAGGGAGACCGTGTAAGTGGCTGGGAGGTAATGAGCAAGTGCATGCTGTGCAGCCCATGAGGCCATGCCGGCTGAAGCACAGGGGCTGCTGGACCTCTGAGTTGCTGGTGTCCAGTAGAAAGAAGAAGGCTTGGGGATAAATTGGCTGAATGGCCTGGTCTGGAGGTAAATTTGGAGAGTCTTCTGCATGAAAGTGATCTTTGAAATTGGGCTTTGGGTTCTTGTGCCTAGCAGAAAATTTGACAGGTAGGATGGGATGATTATTTCAGGGATGGGGTGATTATTTCAGGGATGGCATTAGCTGGTGTAGAATATGTAGAGAGAGGGTAAGAGGCAGATGGGTGGAGCTGAAATATCGGTATGACACGGCCTGTGTATGCTGTGTGTATGTTTCCCCTTTAAGACCTGGAATGAAGAGCATCCCTGATGGTGCAGCGGGTTGAGCACCCTGAGCTATGAAGCAGCAGCATGGGTTCAATTCCTAGCCGGCCAGGGAGCTACCCACATGGTGCAGCAGACCTCTCCTGCCTCGCCCGATGGGGTAGAAGTGGGGATGATGCATGTGGGTCGTAAACACTGGTGGGAGGGTGTTGGGGGTGGGGGGGTAGGCAGACTTCCCTAGAAGCTCAGGCACCTTGGAAACTCAGGGCTGAACTACATACAGCTCAATGAAATCTTGTTGAAACCTGTCTTCTTCTAAGCCCTTAAAAAATAGGAATTTGAGCTAATTTTAGCTAAATCTAATATGTGTGTATGAAAACGAATGCTGCTTTGGAAATTCGGTACATGCAGTATTTCTTCTCCTTTAAACAAATAATCCCTCTCTTTTCCTCTAAACAGTTTTATTACGATTTTCAGTGAAGCCCTGTGTATACTAACAACAACTCCAGTTCTTCCTTTGATCTTTTCCATTGTTGATTTATTTTATTTCATGTGATATGTGTGAATCACATCATGCCATCTCCCTGACTCTGGAGCTATTGTTCATTTGTGGCGATTCCTTTACTCTGATAAATCCCATTAATAAGGGTGTGTTCCGTAACGTGAGAGGTTTTATGTGGACTCTTTTAAATGTGATATGTGTTTATCGATGTGTGTGTGTGTGTGTGTGTGTGTGTGTGTATCTTCCCAGCTACTAATGGCAGCTTTCTGAACAATTTGGCCTCCCATGATTACTTTACCAAAAATAAATAGAGAATTACCAAGGTTTGGCCTTTAGGAGCGTCTTGATCCTTCTCCCAGTGAAGAAGGCTGGGAATGATCTGCTTACATTGCTGTTAGTGGATAGTCTGTTTTAATATAGTTAGAGAAAATCCGAGGGTGGTTAAGTTTTTTTGAACCTGAGTTTTTCAGATATACTGTGTCCACTGCCCAAAGTAACTCAGACTAAGGCGGTGACTTACCCACCTGTCGATAAAAGACGAAATGCTTGGCACAGGAGTGAGAGGCATGGAGAAACAAGTCCAGGGCTAGAGTCTTCTTCTGTCTGCATATTTTAATGAGCATCTATTGTGTGACAGGCATTATGCCACTTTGGCCCTAAAGGTAATAATAGAGGTGATCCATTGTCTATACTTACAATGTATTCACACATTTAATCCCCACTGCAGGTCTTTGAGGCAGACTCTGTTATCACGTCTGTTTCACAAATGAGCTGTTTCACAAATGAGGAAACCAAGGTGCAGAGAAGCTGAGTAATTTGCCCCAGGTGGCCTGGCTCTTGTGGTACAAGTCAGATGGGCACCCCCACTTGAACTCTTGACACCTGCCACTAGCTTGACTCCTGCCACAAAGTCCTGAGCCCTGTCTCTTAGGTGCTTAGGTCGATGGAGTGCAGAGGGTATGCCAGGGGGTAATGTTTCAAGGCATAGGCCTTCCTGGTGGCTCAAAGAGTTAAGTTTCAGCACTATGAAGCGGTGCGTAGCTACTGCAGAACAAGTTGGATCCCCAGCCAGGGAGCTGACCCACATGGCACAGCAGACCTCTCCTGCCTCACCCGCTGCTCCCCTCAGCAGTGGATTTCAGTCAGTTTGCCTGTTCTGCTCCCCACTCTGTCTCTGGTGAATCCTCTTACCTACTGTACCTCTGGCCTGTACCCCAGTTCTTGTGTGCATAAATAAATCTTAAAAAAGGGGTCTCCCTGGTGGCGCAGGATTGGGCGCAGCCCTGTGCAGCTGTCTGCAGCTTCTGCAG